ATTTAAAAAAACGTAATTTTCTATGAAAATTATTTATTTATTCTTATTCTAAAAATAAATTAACATTATATTTAACATAATTGTAATTGCATATGTATAAATATATTTATAATACTTTTAAAATAAATTGTTCTTTTTCTATATAAAAATATTTTTTTACTATTGTATACCTACATTTCTATTTATTTGTTAAATTATGTATTATTTTTAAATTTTATAAATATAATTGTATTTTTTAAATCTCATAAATTTAAGAAATAAATATTTACATTTTTATCTTAAAATAATATTATTTGAATATATACGTTTATTTTATATACTATTTTCTTACGTTAAATATTTTTTTCATATTTCATGCAATTTTTTTACTAAAGTTAATAATATAATATAGTTTTTTTTATCAATATTTATATATTTTTATATTTTTATATTTTTTAAATTAAAACAATATTTATATTTTTTAAATTATTTTCTTACTTCCTAACAGCATACGACATACTGCGAATCATCCCATTTTCGTATTGCTTGTAATGTGATTATCTGTAACGTACTGAGATGCACGCTAGAACATCACTGACAGTATCATTCAGTTTTCTTTCGCGCGCGTATATTCTCAGGATTTACGCAGCGATATTTACGCTTTTTCTTCGCAAGCGTATATTCTCAGGTTATACTCAGAGATACAGAAATGATACGTACGCCTTTCTATCGCGCGCGTATATTCTATAGACATTTGTCACAAAACATTATCGTCATAAATATATCATCATTTAATCGTTATCTTTAAGCCATTTTTAATAAATAAAGAATAAAATAACATTATTAATTACTGTATTTTTTAAATTAACTAATTAACTATAATATATAAATAAAAAAAATATTTGCCATATTTAATACAATTATTAACAAATTCATAAAAAAGTAAACAAAATATATACAATAATTTGTAAACAATTTTCGTAAGAAAAATAATTTTCATTAAATAATATAGATTCACGGCTCTAAATATATAATTGAATTATCTACTTAAGAATTACATATGCAGTCGAAACTTTAAAAAATTTTAAATTGAGACCATTTATTAGGTGTACAAAAAAGTTCTGAGCTTTTTTTGTAAAATTCAATCTTTATTCAAAAACAAACAAAAAAATATTAATCAGCGAAATATTCCTCGTTTGTATCAACGATCTTTTGCCATCTTTCAGGTAGCTTGCGAATTCCTTGACGATAGAAGCTCACCGGCTTCGAAGCGATAAAGTCATCAATGCATTTTCGTATTTCTTCAACTCTCACAAAATGTGTATCAGCTAAATAATGCTGCAGCGACCGGAATAGGTAGTAATCGAAAGGCGCCATGTCTGGGCTATACGCCGCGTGTGGGAGAAGTTCCCAGCTTAACGCAAAAGATATGGTCCTGAGTCGCTTTCGCAACATGTGGTCGAGCATTGTCATGAAACAAGATCATTTTACGACGTCCTTGGCCAGTAAATGGCCTCTTTTCTTCTAATGCATCGCTCAAATTGGTCAATTGTTGTTGGTAGCGGTC